TGTCATGATTTTCATGTAAGGGTCTGCCTCTTGTACTCGCTATGTAATCATGTCATTCCATACCAGTTTTGCAACTTGCCATGTGAACGAAACCACTGCAAGAGGTACAGGACCAAGAAATGTAAATCGTGACATTCATGACATATATATCATGATTTTCATGTTATGACTAGCCAGATATGTTCTTCATACAGTCATGTTATGCGATACCAAGTTTATTGTCGATAGCATTATCGAAAAGGCCTAGAGAGCTAAAAGTCGTAGGCGGCTAGATAGATAGATAGATAGATAGATAGATAGATAGATAGATAGATAGATAGATAGATAGATAGAGATAGATAGATAGATAGATAGTAGATAGATAGATAGATAGATACGGTCAAAGTCGCTGAAGTTGGCTAAGAATTGCTTCGCATTTAAAATTGCTTATATTCTTCTTTCCATTTACTAAAATTAACTGACTCATAGGTTATCAAAATCAAGCATATTCAGTCAAGAACGATAGTCTTCCTTGTTTTTTTATTTTATTGTGAAATTTTATAACAAATGCCTTTCAAAACTTTCTATTGCTTACCATTTGAAGTTATGAAAAAAATGCTTCTATATAGCAATGCACCGCTCCTTTCATGCATGGCCGATCCCACCATGGTGGGTTGCACCAGTATAAAAGGGGCAATCAACCAGTAAATCATGTCCTACTCTCCAGAGTGGGTTGCGCCAAGATGATGAGGAACCCAGCAACCAACTAAAGCAGCCAGCCCAGCTGCTGCAGTCAAGGTGACGAGGAACCGTGGCGTGAAGAGCATCATGCGTCATACATGGACAACTTCGGTAATGGCGGTCAGTTGGCACTACAAGTGGCGTCTCGCGATAGTTGGCCGGTGAACTCTGCTCCACAACTACGCGCGGGCCGATGAGACAAGGCAGGAGTCCACCTCGGTGGATCAGTGGCCAGGGTACTGGACTGGTGGCGCGAAGGTAGTGGGTTCGATCCCGGCAGTGGAGGTCGTATTTCGATTGAGGCGAAACTGTAGAGGTCCAAGTACTGTGCGATGTTAGTGAAAGCTAAACAATATACGGTTAATATTTCCGGAATCCTTCGTTACGGCGTCTCTCGTAATACTCATATACATATCATTATTTTCACCAACGGAGCCGTTGGTGAAGATAATGGTTTTCTACGTAAGAGCTGTAAGGGGTATAGCAGACGAATCCGTCAGGCAGAAGCGCGGTGGAAACTAACTGTGGGACCCTTAAGCTTCGCCTTTAAGAGTTTAATGCGATTGCGAAATCCGGCCCCTAGTGCACCCGTCAACCGCTAAGTGCATACTTATTCATATGTTTTGTTACATACACACGCACGCACACAGTAGATTGGAGCAGCGCGCGCTATTATCACCGACTTTGCTCGTTTTCGTCGTGACATCTGTCGAATAAAATGCGTTAAAGGGGCCCTGAAACACTCTTTCAAGTAACCATGGATTAAATTCACTAGAAGAGCTTATTGCCTCGAGAATTCAACGCCGCTAAAATTTCAAGAATCCGTCCAGTGCGAGTGGAGTTACAAAGGTTACAAAGGTTTGTCGCATGCTGCAATTGCATTATCTCTTATCTCATCCTGACGAAAGCGCTGGAAGCTAAGCAGGGAGGGGTGGCAGGGCAAAGAAGCTACCGCGCCTCGAGACCTTGAGCACTTTTTTTTATTCGAATACGCGGCCTTTTCAGTGTGATCGCGCGCGCACGCGTGGACAAGTAGCGGCCTCCCGCGGCTATCTTGATAACTTGATTTTTCGGTCACAGAGGCACAGACGATTTTTCGCTCACAACCAACGGAACCGACGCCGGCGGCGGGTTTTCTGGGACACGAGCTCTGTAACGCTATCGCGTTAAAACTAGCGTGAAGACGAAGACGACGAGGGCCTGCGACACGAGGGGGAGACAAGCTACAAGTGAAGGTAAACAAAAACAAGTGCGCATGGAGTGTGGTTACACGTGGTTCGCAAGGGGTTGTTCGTTCGGGCTGGAGCGAGAAAGGCGGTTCCCCAGCATCACGGTCGGGGTGTGTCCCGAGCGCCTGGCAGAGGTCAAGAGTATAGGAGCGGCTTGCTTCGCTTGGCCTCAGGCGTCGATGGTACCTGGTCCACGCGTCCGAGGAGAAGACTGCGTGACTTCGTCGACCTCGTTCCGTCGGCGCATGTACCTGAGCGTCGCCCACCTTTTCACCTCATTCTTCTGACGACGGCTTCCCTCTTCTCGTATCTGCTCGCCGTAGATGTCCGACACCTCAGTAGCAGTACTCACCGGTGAGACTGTTTCGGTTACGTTTGGACAAACTTGTTTTGCGTGCCTGCCTAGAGCTGTTTACATAGGTTGTAAAATGTTTTGTAACCATTAATGCTTGTTGTGTGTCTTCTTTCCTTCCCCGTCTCCCCTTCTCCAGTGCGGGGTAGCCTACCGGGCCTCAGCCCTGGTTAACCTCCCTGCCTTTCTCCTTATGTTCTCTCTCTCTCTTCTGTCTGTGTGTTTTTTTATAAAATGACGGAAACAGAAAGGAGTTTTGTCAATTTTATTAGGAGCATTGCTGTCCCCTACGCAGCGTGTTTTTAAATCTCTATTTAAAAAAAAACATATTACACTTGCTCTGACGTCACTGAAACCGCCGTGTTGTTGCACCACATGGTAGGGTGCCAGGTTTGGGACGTTGCGTTAATTGGTATTGTACATTACTTGTGTGTTCCTTTGTTATCAATGTATTTTATCGTATCAAAGCGGGTTAAGCTCGACATACTTACGCTGCCATTACGTAATGTTGGTGAACCATAACGTTATGAAGCTTTATTGTTCAGCATGCCCTTCTTGCATTTATCACTGGAGTCAGGTGCCAACTGATATGCTGGCCATGCGCTGTACTTATACCCACACAGAACTAAGAAAAATTCCAGCGTCATGGAAGCATATTGTACGTTACGCTCTGTCTGGTGAAACTTTTGCTAATGACTCCCTCTCAAATTATTTCAGAATTCCGGGTATGAATGTACTGTAACGTGGGAGCACAATAACCTCACTGTTGTCGAAGGAACCAAAGTCATTTGAGCAGCTGAAGATGAGTTGTGCAAGCAATTGGGCAGAGTGGTGATTTTGTAATGTGCAAGTGTGTAAGTGGTCACATAAGTTAATCGAACGCCCATTACATTACCATGTCATATTTTGTTATTTTGTAAAGCACAAGTTTATGCACAGTTAATGTGAACTGTGATTACGCCTTGGGCAAGTTCATGGTCACGCATTTTAGCACTACGTAAAACCATGCACGTTCAGCAAATAGCACCACACATCTATTCTGCAATTCCTTTTTTTTAAGTTGTGTGTGCTGTGTTAATAAGATATTTTTGCTTTTCATGCTTGTAACATAAACTTTTATGGTTCCAAAATAGTTTATTTGGTAGCTACCATGTATCAGCGGAACTCAAGAAGTAAAGGAATTTTTTGGAGGCCCTTTCATTCCAATGATGAAAACTAAAACATACGTTTTTTTTTCGTAACTCTCCTGCACCACAGTGCGCTGTGCCCAAGGTTTCACAAGTTTGATCGCTTTGAGGAAAATATTTTTTTGGTTGCACCTCTAGCCGATTGTGCACAGCTTCGATAATTTCTGCATAAATGGCAAATCTTTCGTGAACAGGGCTTCAAGCATAATAAAATCGCTTGAAACCAAGTGTGTACTGCATAGAGGATGTTACAGTATTTCAAATCCCAACTCTTACACTCTTATCGACTAAAGTGGGATCAAGAATGACATGTTTTATAGAAGTTTTGCAAACGACATTAATTTAGTGCTTTATACTAGCACAGTTAAAAACCCTATAGCGCGAGAAATAGTAGTTGCTTTACCCTTTGATGTCCCCTCGTTTGTATAAGGCGCTTATTTTTTTATTTCTGTATATGATCATTTTCTTACTATTGAATTGTCGTTTTGCGATGTTATAGGCAGTCCACGCATGAAATGACTTTTTGGAACTTCTGTGCTATATCAACACACTCACAGTTATACATTCAATCACCCATGGTGCTAAAAAATAAAAGCTTTACCTAAAAAGATGTGATCTCTTATATTTGACTGGAACTCTGCTAACATTCATCAGAACTGCAGTCACTAACTTCAGGTTTTGATATAACTTACGTGTTACTCAAGCGTGCTGGCAGTCCATTAAAATGTATCTCGCGTCAATATTTTTTGGCAGTGCATATATTTCAGCATTTTTAGTAAACTTCAAACAGCGCCTCGCTGTAGCTAACACAATGTCAAGCATGTGGTGCATATCACTACGTTAGAACAAGCTTTATTGCCGTTTACCGAAGCTGTTAAGCTATGTTGTCTGCTTGCGAGGTCATTCTCAATTTGGAAGAGTGGCCAAGTGTCGGTGTGGCCCCTTTAATGCAGCGCAGCAGTGCCCGCATTTACATTAGGTCATTCTCCCAAAGAAAGAATAATCCTCATTAGGCAAGATACATCAGTAACTTTTTGAACGACCAATAGTAGACAAAACATTTGTAACGGGCAGCTTGCAAAACAGTGTAACAACTTTTAATTTGCCGTTCTTCTAGCATCTCTTGAACCTTACAAGGACATTTCTTTTTGGTTATTGGTGGCCAATAGTCCATAGATCTAACCGGTGTGAAGATGCTCGATACAGCACGAGGAAACATTTTTTATGCAGCTTTTATCGCTTTGATTCAGTGTCTAACGTTTTATAGAAATTTTTACTGGTTATCGATTGTTAATGGTCAATAGAGTGTTGAGTAATTGATTTGACGATGGTCGATACAGCGCTAGGCAACCTTTTTATACGGTCTTTAGTACGTGGATTTGGCGCCTATTGGACGGTATTTGGGAAATCTCTTTTTGGTTATCGGTGGCCAATAGTCGATGAATTGTTGGTAGCTGCTGTACAGGACGGTATAATGACTTTCAATTTACCGTCGCTTAGTTCGGTCAACTCCCCCCCCCCCCCCCAAAGAAAAAACACGTTTATTGATGGTTCTAACAAACGTCTTTAGTGCCCTTCAAACAATCTGCTTTTGGAGCTACATATAAATGAGGTTTTGAGCCGGTGTGCTGAAATGGAAAAAAAATTATTAGAATCACTTCTATTAGGTGTCTAACATTATTTTGCTTAGAGCATTTTCTAGAGCGAAAATTGCGCTTGATTTAGAACGTCGAAGCGGAATTCACGCAACCAGAATGTGCCACATGCTTCATTTCGATTGACTTGCTCATTTTGCTTGAACTCGAATTCTATAATGTATAGCTCTGTGAGGGCCCTTAGCGAAAGATTTTAGACTCGCCCTTGACAATCATACAATTTGTTGGTATCGGAGACGTGATTGTGAGGAGTCATTAGCGTCAAAGAGGCGTGCGCTAAACCTGACGTGTGCGCAGTCGCCACCCTGGCCTGGTGTTCTATACTTTGGGAAGACACAAGTTAAAACGAAATGAGAAAAATTAGGAAAGCAATTAATGCGATAGGCAACAATTGATACGCAGGAAGCAAGATTAGCCGCTCACTCGTTTAGCTGGAGACCTGGTGATTAAGCAAAACCCTGGAGTAATAGACAGAAAAAGTCAGTTTCGCCAAAAGGGCTAAGAAATGAATGCGATAGCAACACATTCGAATGTTTTATGAGCAAGGCTAGCATTTTTAGAAGCAATACTATTTGTAGTGAGCATGCGCTTGCTAAGTAACCCAAGTGTCCTGCGGCGCGGCCACAGTACATGGACACATGAAGTCTCGTGCGTAGTCACAGTTTCGCCAAAAGGGCAACGCAGTGAATGCGATAGCAACTTATTCAAACGTTTTACGAATCAGGGCTAGGGAATCACGATATTGTACGAAGTGAGGCTGTCAGTCAACTCAATTAGATCCGATCTCACGTAACTCTGCAAAAATCTGGTGTAAGAGAACACGGCTGCTCCGGGCACACTTTTGGCACCATTTTTTGTGTGTGTGTCGAGAGCGCCACCTGTGGAAGCTCCCGCCTGCTGTGGAGGCACAAGCCACGCGCTGATCGTTGCCGCGATATCGCAGCAACCATAAGCCCCCCCCCCCCCCCTTGTTCGCTCACGAGATAGGCGCGCGCGCAGACGACCCCGGCCGGAGAGGTGATGTGCACTCTGCAGAAAGAGGAGGCTAGCGCATCCTTCCCCGCATGTATACATACATCTACATATACGCGAAAGAGCCCCGCCACGGTGGTCTAGTGGCTAAGGTACTCGGCTGCTGACCCGCAGGTCGCGGGATCAAATCCCGGCAGTGGCGGCTGCATTTCCGATCAAGGTGGGAATGTTGTAGGCCCGTGTACTCAGATTTGGGTGCACGTTAAGAACCCCAAGTGGTCAAAATTTCCGGAGCCCTCCACTACGGCGTCTCTCATAATCATATGGTGGTTTTGGGACGTTAAACCCCACTAATCAATCAATATACGCGAAGGACGGCGGCTCTGGTGGTGGCGACGACGATGATGGAAAAAACCAGCCGAGGCTGCCCGTATAATTGCTATCGCAATAAAACAGACTTTCTCCGTACCCGTAGGAGAGCATGACGGATAGGAGTGAGCCGCAGCTGCCCCATTCACCGTCTACTCCCCCCTAAATGTTGGCCGCCGGTACCAGTTGGGCTCTGGCGGTAGCCTGGACTTGACTGATGGCTTGTTTTTGGTTTTGTTATTCCTGGCCGCGTAGGGAGGATTCCCATGACTCCTTATTCTCTGTTAGACTGCTTAGTGTTGTAGATGCCCAGGGCATGTCCTCTAAAGTCTTCACAGCTCCCGCCTCTGAAAAAGTTCGCCTCGGGATGTCACTTTCTTAGGCTACATGGGTTTGGAAATGTGTACATCTGCACTTTTCACCAGATTACTTCTCTTTGTTTTTAGAGATTCGTGGTAGGGAGAATCAATCCACCCATTTTGTGGCGTTAAAAATTTCCCTGTACGGGGTCAAGTCTCAGTTTTGGGACAGGAAGGGGTCTGCCTGCGTGAGAGCCTGGCGTGTGAGTCTTCCTGAATGGATCCCATACAGAATGATGAACGCAGGAGAAGCATGGTCCGGGGGCTTGAAAGCTCCCTTAATTAAAAATAATGGGCAGTGTACGCCTATGAGGCAGAGTATCCACAAGGTTACTACGCTGCAGTGTAGTATTGAGCGACCAACGCGAGGCAGTCTCCAGCTGTAGCCTGTGACACTTGACGGCTATGGCCCTGGCAAGCGCAAGCCTTGCCAGGGCCATAGGATCACTCATTCAGGATCACTCATTATGAAACCGAAATCGAAACTGCTGCCCCGGGTAAATCATCCGTCTGCAAGGAGGCAAGGAGAAAGTTCCCAACGACGTGATTGGAATAATTTGGGAACCCGTCCATAACGGACTCGCAGAAAACTCTGTCGCCAACACTGACGTAAGGATACGCCGCCACTTCGGCGAGCGTGGCAGCCTTCGTTTTCTCTATGGGTTCTTCGCGAACACAACACGTACAAAGGTATGAGCCATCGGCTGACGCTACTCTAATGATACGGCGCACACTATCATGCCCGTATGACCAAAGTGCGCATTTCCTGCCGGAGCCACAAAGCCCTCTTCCGGAAACCCTTCATGTGCCATGCACGCAACAGAGACGGTCGGTTCATTTCATCTCTGCGTTGCCGCATTCGCCCACAGCTCTCGCTTAAATTCACTGGCACACGCAACACACTACGCACGGGGTGATGTTATACCAAGTTTGACTCCACATGGACCGTGAAGGTTACGCCAACAGCGATGGTGGAATTCCGCTTGAACTATCCATGCGATTGCTATCGCGAAAAACTGTGGGGCGATTATCGGCATCAAACGTCACAGGTGACACGAAACGGTCTCCTTCTACTAATCGTATTCATTTGTACCTTAAGATAAGCTAGCCGAAACACGTCTTTTAAACATGGATTAACATATTTCCATTTTCAATAAACTCGAGTCTTGAATGACCAAACTGCGGCCAGCCAAGAAGACGCAGGCACGTGAAGTGGATTTAGAAGTTCTTATCTTGAGGTAGCACGACATCAGCATGAACTGTCACTCACTCTTCATATATTTACATCTTTAGCACCCTTCTCATAGCAAGTGTTCTTAATGCGCTATAAAAAGAAAGCTTGCAATAATCATCACAATGTACAAGCCCGCCAAAAATTGTTTGCATGAAAAAAATTCTAGTCTTCTAGAGGGCTTACATTGACACACCTACGTCTGAAGCCGCGTTTCTTGTAGATAAATCAAAGCAGTGCAGAAATTGTTTAAACAAGCTTCACTCGGTCACAACCTAAGAAAAATTTAGGCTCGCCCATAGAACCATGGTTACCTAACCACGGTGCCCCTGCGTTTCCTTTCTCGATGGTCATGCTAGGTCGTTTTTGCTCAGACCGTACGTACTGCTTGTCTGTTTTAATGCCGTATTATGAAGCCAAACTTCATCGTTGCAGACTCAAACACTACGTGTCGCTAGCAGCAATGACGTAATTCCTGACTAAATATGCCAGGATGTTCAACATTCCGACTTAAAATAAGCGACACGAATGTGTGTCTTTATGTGAAAACTCAGGTGCCTGACACACTCTAGAAGTGCATGACTTAACGAAAAGAAAGTGAGAGCAGTTGTACGGAGGATTTATGCAAAATATCTGCAGGAGGTTCTGCGACGGTTGTGTGTGGAGCTGACATTTTTTTTTTCTTAGGTTGTAGCCAACTGTGGAAAGGCATTGCAGGTTTCTTACGATTTCCATGTTTTTGATGTTGATGTTTTGAACGATCAGCGAGTACCACCCGTCGCTGACCAAGTCGTCATTCAGTAGCACTCTTTTGTCTTTCGTTGCTATGGAAAAGAGGAAGTTGGTCACCGTGATATTGAAGATGACCTCCACACCCGTCACCTTGTACTCGCTGAACACGTGAAAGTTTTTCTTGGTCTGGTAGTAGCCGATCATAATCCTGCAAATATATACACACTGGCGTAACTGATGCTGTCCATGGTATCCTGAATTCCGTGTAATAAAGATGATATGTAAATCAAAATGCAGCACTGTAATGCAGGGACACCCGATTGTTTCTTAAGTAGAAATCAACAAAACATTTACTCGTGGGAACTATGGCGCTATTGTTTATTTCAGCTGCAATGCATGCCGATTCGGTGAGCTTGAAAATGATGGACAGTCATCATCATCATCATCAACATCAGCCTGACTACGTCCACTGCAGGACAAAGGCCTCTCCCATGTTCCGCCTGTTAACCCGGTCCTGCGCTTGCTGCTGCCAATTTATACCCGCAAACTTCTTAATCTCATCCGCCCACCTAACTTTCTCTCTACCCCTAACTCGCGTGCCTTCTCTGGGAATCCAGTTAGTTACCCTTAATGACCAGCGGTTATCCTGTCTACGCACTACATGCCCGGCCCATGTCCATTTCCTCTTCTTGATTTCAACTATGATATCCTTAACCCCCGTCTGTTTCCTACAGTTCACTCTGCTCTCTTCTTGTCTCTTAAGGTTACACCTACCATTTTCTTTCCATTGCTCGCTGCGTCGCCCTCAATTTACGCTGAACCCTCTTTGTAAGTCTCCAGATTTCTGCTCCGTAGCTAAGTACTGGCAAGATACAGCTGTTATATACCTTCCTCTTGGGGGATAGTGGCAATCTATCTGTCACCTGATGGACAGTACCTGATGGACAGTACATGGATTTATTTAAGCCTCGTTCTTTCAGCTCCTTTGGTCTCCATGGACCCAGGAGGCACGTTGTCGCGATTTGAAGTTCGGCTCCACTATAGTTCAGCTATGCCACATTAACCTCTTTGGCTCACCCATTTAAATCGACTCGCGAAGTTCACAGTGCAGTGGCGTAGCAAGAGAGTGGCAAACCAGATCCATACCCCTCCCCCGAATGTTTGACACCATTGCATACAGAGCAAAAATGACCAAATCGAATTCCCACCGTCATGAGAAAAAAAAATCTGCCTACACCCTTGTCGAAGTGATCAATTGTTTTATGTGAAACAAATGCCAAAACAGCAATCAAGTAACAAGCGTCTTTAAAGTCGCGAGCATGGACATAAGGCAAATCTGTATCCAACCCATAATTCCCTGGGTAGCTGACCGATTGTAGTGCCAGAGTTCCGTCTTCGGTATTCGTGGGATACTCTCTGGTTTTTTTTTCGGATTTGTTACTTGCAGATCATCCTTTTCCTGCATTCGTTGTCAAGATCAGCACGAACACTCCAACACTTTACACTTGCATATCCTTACTTTTTTATTCTCTTCTCATTTTATATTTTTTTCTACACTTCTCAAGGCTCTTTTGCTTGCGGTCATCTCTCCTTCTGGCGGGCGCTCGCATAGCGTTGCTAGAATGTGTACCGCCTTCAGAGAAAAAAATTACCTAACTTCTTCTGAACTTTCAGAAATATGTTTGCGCCTTTCATCTTATTCCCCCCTTTTCGGGAGAAGCTCAATTGGGAGGCAGCGAGAGGTTTGACTTGCGAGTAACGATCTAAAGAGCGAAGTTGCTCTGTTCGATCAGCCCCAGCGAGCCGCAAAAGCCAGTGGCTCCCTGGACTTGGGGACGTACTCACCTTCGTCCTGATTCCCTCTTGTATACGATAGTTTCTTCTACTATCTCACCTTTACTGATTTATCCGCTCTGGATATTTTTGAAGCTCTAATTCGCTTTTAGAAGAGAACGCCGTTTGTACTTAGTGGATGATCACTTTACCAGTGACCACGTGCCAGTTTGCCGTGTATGTCTACAAAGAATAAGCGAATGTATGTACTCGCTGACCGCCACATGTATGTGTCCCTCCTTACGAGCGACAGCCTTCGTGAATTGTTGCTTCACCTAGCTCTTCGACACTCCACCAATAAAAGGAGGCAAACACAAGACGGCTGCATAGAGGGAAGCAGCAATGACCGTGTACCACAATACAAAGTGAATTGCGAAACGTTTTCGCGAATAGCACTGTTCGGGGACCAGTGCCTCAAACTCACCCGTCTGTAGCCGGATCGGTCGGAATATATGATCCAACGATTACTGCGGATCCCCCGGCGCTGATGTCGGAAAGCCGAGGATAACATTCGTCGTATACAGAAATCCTTGGCTGTAACAAGAAAGTCGGCACGTTCATTCGTATACAACTGATGCCTGACAATGGAATAAAAACGAAAATTGTTTATTTACGTAAGAGCAATTCCGAGAGCAAAAAAGCAATTGGCTGACAGAAGACGTCATTGAGTGTCTTTTCCGCATTATTATTAACGTGGTTGCGCTAAAGAGCTCGTTTCTAATAAATTCCTGGCAGTGGCGTCATTGGTTGTGAGCGAAATTCATCTTATGCGTGACCGAGAAATCAAGAACGATGTAAATTAAATAAATAAATAACCTTTGATTGTAGTGTGGACTGAACCAGGGTTGGTGGAGTGCGAGTAAAAATCGAACTCGGGTCGTTTGCGTGGCAAGCGTATGTTCTACCACACGGCCACGTCTCTGCTTGTGAAAACAACGAAAAGAACCTTCTCTGCTTGCAAATGCAGCGAAAGTAGCTTTCATGCTTCACAAACACACGCGTCATGTATACATGGTTCACAATGCAACATGAAATATTGCAGTAGTAATGCGTGGTACGAACTTCCATTGCCAACGGGCATCAGAATATATATTTATCATAATGGCTTTGTGGTTGAATGCTGATAACCCACTACAAAATGCACACACGCTACTGCGCATGTTTCCTTTATGCCAAGTATTGGGTGCAAAGTGAATTCGAAAACGTTTCACGCACAAAATGTTTGAAGTAGGCACTAGGAACAGAATGTCGCTATAGGGTTCAACTCCTAAAGGGTCCCCTAGTTTTTTATTGTTTTTTTCTACAGTGTCGGCGCAAATGAAAACTATGGCAGCTTGGCACTCGTAGCAAGGTGGCCTTCCTATTAGCTACGAAGTTCCGTCGAGGCTTTCACGCCCGGGGAGTGTCGATTAGATGAGGCATCGCGGGCCACTTGGCTACGATTACGATAAGCATCATTTGCAAATCCGTATGTACTGTTCAAGATAGACCCTTCGGTGTAGATTACGCGGTGTAAATTGTGTCTCCACACGGCCACTTTATTTCATATGGTCTCGGGAAGTACCAAAACAAACCCCGGAATATCGGCCGATCCCAATCCTACAAATATCGAGTGGGAGGCGACACTATCCAGCTCTGGACCCAGTACAGCAACAGTCATGACACTGTGATAGCGGTTCTTTTTTTATTCGAATGCAAGCACGGGCGAGGCGCTCTGGTAGAGCTACTGCTTGCCTCGAGGGAAACACGTACTATTCCCACTTCAACCAGTTTTTCTTTATTCATTTGCATTCACCTCGAGTTCTCGCTCTCATTGACGGTAATTCTTAGATCAATAGCAACGCTATCGCAATAATATGCAAATGCAAAAAAACAAGAAATTGGTAAGTTATGGTCTAAGTTGTGCAACGCTTGGCACAACGAAGCTAGTAAATCCTCGTCTTTACGCTAACGCTGGCTGCTGCCGTAGTGTAATTTGTTGTTGACATGTTTTGCAGTGTTGTAACTAGGCTTTGCTTGTTGATTTACCGAGTTCGCAACGCCAAGCTGTGTCTATGCATCGACCGACGCGTCTTGTTTCGGCATCTGGGGCATACTGCTCGGCAGTACGTGCTTTCTTGGGACGCCTAGCGATTGTCTAAGCACGATCGGACGTAGCCCTCTAGAGCTGCGCCCAAAGCTTTGACGCGGCTAGTTGCTAGATAACGTGATACGAGGCTACAGGCTGCACTGCAGAACGGTGGTTGCGCGTGATGGTTCTGTTGGTGGGAGAGGCTTAGCTACTACGCATGCGCGGCTTGGCGAGTTAATGGCAGGCATTGCCCAGCTGCAGAAGGCTTATTAAAACTCTCATTCTCTCGCTTAAGATACCGCTGAAGCACTGATTGCAAGCGTTTTTAGCGAAGCTCGAACGGGTGGCCATGGTGCTGACCACAGGGTTACCGTAATTCCGACAGTTTATTGAAGCTTATCTCAATTACTGGTAGTATGTCCAGGGAATCTTAACTGGTGTTTTCTGCCCATCGGTTCACTTCTTTTTCAGTACACCAGTGGTTAATAAGATTATTTCGTGACACATACGCGCTCAAGATGGTGGTAGATTTTCGGTCATGGCCGATATCTTGGGCTTAACAAGAATGGCTTCGCAGTTTGAAAAAAAAAAGCATTAGGGCACCTTCGGACCAGTGGGGGTGTGTGCTAAGTCAGAAAAAGCTATAGAGCAGGGAACTTTCCTTGTTTACTTTTATAATTTCTGTGTTTCTATGTATTTTCTCCTGCCTCTTTATTTGCTGTTTTACTCGTATCTGCTTCTCTCTTTTCAAGATTCTGTATCTCGCTTCCGATTTCTCTATCTTTCTATCTATCTTTGTTCTGGCTAGCTCTTCGGTTCTTCCGTTCTGTTAATGCCTATATACTTCATCGATTGGTGCATTATTTAGATATGAAGCGTCTTATAGTCGAGCTTGATATGGTGTGCGGCGTTACCACCCCTGCTGCGCAGGCGCACCTATCCTCCTCTCTCCTCTCCTGCAATCACACCACAACACATACAATAACACCATAATTCTCGTGTCACGTCTTTATATGATGATTATTGAGCAAATGTACAGATAATTCATGGTTTACTGAATTTAACCTCTGTAGCAAGCTCCAATATCATTCACTTCGTGGATATGCGGAATTGTTTTTATGTATGCGGAACATTTGATAGTTTCACCTAGTCACAAATTTGGCATCGGATGCGCCGTCGACATCCTCACTGCGCATGCTCGCGTCTCGTGCCAACTGTCGCTCTCCTCCTCCTCCTCCTTTATCGCCTCGCAAGGCCTACGCGGGCAGCGTCTGTCAGTAAAAAAACGCCAGGCCTGCGCGGTAGGCGCCGCAGAGTCACAGCGAAAGCTAGAAGAGCGGCCTTTCAGAGCCTTTTCAAAACACTCATTGGGTGACTACTGCAAGCACGTAGCGTCTGCTAGTAAAAACCGATTGCTCGCGCTGCACACCAGTTCACAGGCATCCCCGTATATGTATAGGCAACTGGATCGCGCATTCAGAATTCAGTCAAGGGCGTCTTTACTTGGCTTTCGCTTCACTTGATGCAAAGCTTTGCTTGACTCGAGTAGATGCGATGGAACCACAGTACCTTCAACGAGAAGTGGGGCACAACCGAACATCAGCGTCCCACCACTGGTTGAAGGCAACGCTTCACCTTTGTTCAATAAATGAGAGTAATTAAGACGAAATAACATTTAAGCATCCCGAAACCAAACCTAATTACGCAACATTCACGCGACACCCCCTCCCCTCCACCAACTCTGCGACGCATTTACTCGAGTTCTCTATGCGGGAAGATGCGGGCGGCTTAATTATGTTTCAACGTACGTTCGTCAGTATCCACGTGGCCCCCCAAAGGGCGCAGGGTTCCTATTAGTCAGTGCTACGGACCACAATTTTTTTTTCGTACAGAGATTACGCGCTTCGGCGAGTGCTTCACGCGCTTTCTGCGACGCGCCAATCCAACCCGTTGTCCTCCTCTCGATGACGATACCTCGCCGGCCCTTGGGAGCTTTCCTGGTCAGCTGCGCATGGCGCGTGGGGGCTTGTGAGTTCGTTGCGGGACGCAGAACGAATGACCCTCACCTCTCTTTTTTTTCTCTTTTCCAAACTTTCCCTCCCTATATCTTTTATTCTCCGTACCCCACTCCTGTGCTGACCTGTTGAGGTGTCCTTGTTAGGAGAGACAGTTACGGGTCGGCACTTTTTTTTCTTTTCTTCTGTTATAACCACTTATATAAATAAATTTTCGCAAAGCGATAATTTTCCTAACGTGTTCGATTATTCGTAATGGCTCCACATGCTGTCCGGCAGGGCGCTTAATAGGCAGCTTTAGAATAGGGTGCGTAAAGCTTTGCATTATCTTTTGTCGCCCACAGCACACGAGTCATGCCCTTGACCGAGGGATCGTTGTCGAGCGATGACGTAATCATTTATGGTTATGATGACGTCGCATCTCTCGGCGATCTGGACGTGACGTCGTTGATGGCGCCACGTCACGCTGTATTCACGGGATTTTTGGCGCGCACGCGCATTCACTTGAGTACACGTGACTTTTGACCAGCTTTTATTACATTTTTTTTTGCATTCCTGTTAACGCTGACGCCGGCCTCAAGACATATCGTCCGGGTCTTGCGAAACCCTCGAAAGCGCCTCCGACTGTCAATTCTCGCGTTTAATGAGACATCGAAGCCATTTGCCCTAATACAAGTGCAAGCTTCGGGCAGCGGTGACCCTTACACCGGCCGTTATATCGTCATGGAACTGGTCACATTTACGAGTTGGGGATACGTGTCCGTATTTTTTCACTACAGCGATGCAAATAGGTACATACCACATTTTATGGACATGTAAAGGATTGCAGCCAGAACGAACCCTTCACTTCGTTCAAGCCGGCCTTCGCTACAGCGACACAGACAGTTACAACCGCTGGATACATGAAAACAGATTCCACAAGACGCTACTTCACTTCATACACAACACCGGCCTAACAGCACACATTTAACAAAAATATTATGCCTTAGAGGCAAGTCTTTGTCGCAATAAAAAAAATAATACAAGTGCAACTTTTTGCCAAGATGAATGGTGCCAATCATACAAGAGTCAACTTACGATATCTGCGTGTTTCGGCATGACTTCGGTGATTCCATCGTACACGAAGTGATGCTCCAGCACCGTAATATTGTCAGAAGTATCCTGATTGTTAAACACGTACCTCCCAAGCTTCTTCGCCCCGGCTTCTTTAAAGTAGTATTGCGGGATATCGTAGATATTTGCCCATGTTCCATTCACGGCGAACTGAAAAAGTCGCAGTTCCGCCGGAAGGCCGAATCAATAAATGTGATAGTAATTAAATAGAATATCACATGAACGCGCAGTTTGACACTTTCAGCGAGGCGTGGAGGCGCAAGGACGCGCGAAAAGAAGACACGCATGATGTGCGCGAAGTAATAGCCAGGCTCGCCGCTCGACGCGCGCTGCAGAAATCCAATTTAGGAAGCGCAGGTATATACACAGGACGAACGCGAACTAACAACTGCCGCTGTTGTTACTCCTGTGTTTGACCAGCATGCTACAAATCCACGTTCTTCGATATTTTTTTTTAGGAGCGACGCTCCTTAAGGCGTGGGTCGTGCGTGTCATGTATGTAGTAGCCACGCCTGCTTTTGGTCCTTGGAATGTCCGCTGGATGGCGGTACTTGTGCATGATGAATATCTGATGAAAATATGTGAGAGGGCGGAACCTGGAGTGTTCACTAGACAGACAGACAGACAGACAGACAGACAGACAGACAGACAGACAGACAGACAGACAGACAGACAGACAGACAGACAGACAGACAGACAGACAGACAGACGGACGGACGGACGGACGGACGGACGGACGGACAGACGGACGGACGATTCATGGTTTGCTGATAAAACCCTCGAGGCTTCGCCCTCTCACCATCACTCACTTTGTCGATATGCTGCAATTTTTTTTCTTGAAAACCGCAAAGCATGTAATGACCCTTTCGCGTCTCCTGCCACGTGGTGGCGTTAGGGGCACTGTCTACTTGAATGTCTACCTAAAATCACTGGAACAAAGAAGGCTCTGCGACCATTCGGCCCTCCGCCGTATTTGGTCCAGCGCGGATGAAGCTGCGGCGGGAGCATGCAAGGTTTATTTTACGAGGAGTTACGCTTGTTTTACCCATTGCTTGCGCTTCTGCAGCCCCAAATGAAGCATGCTATTGTTATTTACATAACCAAAAAAATCGCCGTAGTTCCAATGGCCTACAGGCATACTCCCGCCTACTAACATGACAAAAGAATGCGATCTGCGTGTAGTTTAGGCACTCGGCTGTCGGCGTTTATGAAGTGCGTAGCATTTCTTATCGGACTTAGGCGCCTTTGAAAGATCTATCTATCTATCTATCTATCTATCTATCTATCTATCAATATATCTATCTATCTATCTATCTATCTGTCTATCTATCTGTCTATCTATCTATCTATCTATTTGTCTATCATCTATCTATCCATCGATCTATCCGCCTACGATAATTTACTTTCCTGGCCATTTCATTAATGATAGGGTCTCTACCAAAAAATGTGTATGGCATACCATCATTGTGTGACGAATATAAATATCAGACCGTAACATGAAAGTCACTACATGCATTTAATGAACCGCACAATTTACGCGCTACGGTCTTGATGCTCTTGCATCCGCTTTATTTACATCATGCGTACGATTAATATGGCGTGGCCAGAGTGCATGACGAACATAAGTGACTATTAACATGCAAATCCTGACACGCATCTTATTTACAGCGTGATTTATATGACGTGGTGTCGGGTTTGTCGCAGCTGTTTAATTTAATATACGTATGCCGAAATTGTCGTGACGAGATATATATGTATCCAAAATGCAAATCAGAGGTGGCAGTTCGAAAATCAAGACTTGCATGTAATCTGCGGCATAACATCCTACTAATTATCGGTGGTTGCTTCCCTCACCTGGTATATATTGAAACCGATACTGCATGACGCGACTGTATACGAAGAACATAAATACCCGCGTAAACATGGAAATCACAACACACATGCGTTAAAACACCACGCTCATGGTGTGTTCGCGGCCGGTTCGCTATCGTAATTTTCGTGTTTCCACCTTTCACTAATGTTCGTCACACAGTCACCTCACGCATTAACAATTTCGGTCAATATCAAGTAAACCAACCGGCTGTGAGCCCACCTTGAGCGCCACAGGTAAGTCATGTGTGGCATAAAATTCACGTCAGCATTTCCATGTTCCCACCTTCCATTCATATTCATCATGCCGTCAGCTCACAAAATATCAGTTTTGTGAAAATCAATCTAGCCAAACTGATCTGACTTCACCGTGAGTGCCACATGTAATTCATGTGGGGCTTAAAGTTCACGTCCCGACTTCTAAGTTTCCACCTTTCATTCATGCATGCTGGTCACGCAGTCACCCCACAAAATATTAGTTTTCGTGAATATCAATCTATCGAAACGGCCGCGTGCTCATCATGAGTGCGTCATGTAAATAATGTTCTACACCAAATTCACGCCATGATTGTAGCCCTCCGATGCCCGGCCACTGTCGTGGAGGCTCGCCGTCGTCCCTAGTCGATGCGCCAAGGTGAAACATCTCTGCGCGTCACCGTCCACAGAGTGTACAGGCGTGAGCAAAAGTCCGTGTACAGATACATAGCGCGAGAACAAAACGACGACACTGAGACGAGAAAGACAGAGAGGAACGAGTCTCTGCGCCGTCGTTTTGTTCTCGCGCTATAGCTATCGTCATGCCATACCCCCTAGCCAAGCTGCCACACTTCGTCTACAGAGTGTACACATAGTGTACAGGCATGAGCAAGTGTGCCGACCTCGGGATTCGCGTTGCAGAACACATCGACGCGCCATCTACCGACGTGACGCCTGCTACGGTGCACATGTCCGTTCCGCCGTTATCAAGTGGCTTGTCACGTCGCTTGGTTTGACGGGCTTACGCGCCCGTTATCAAAACAACTGGGTCTCGCTTTCTTTGCTACTTCGAAATGCGCCGTTCGTTTACCTTATGGTTTCGATGGTGCCGGCTCCAACGCCGGGCTCGCTTCGTTTCTTACATCGTCTAATTAGTCTAACTAATCAGAGCATCGCATAACTTACTGAAGCCAAGCGTACAAAATTATGTTTTCTCAGCCATCATTGGCTACTGTCGCGTTAAGCCAAGTTAAATTTACTGAGTCGATTTGAGCCAAAGATGTGGCGCAAAAACAAATCAAACCTATAGGTGGGCCTCGTATCACCTAACAAAGCCAAATATAACTAGGTTTAATTAGGCCGATTCCAGTGAAGTCCATTCCAGCTGGCCGTCTTCGTGTTGAATGAAGTTAAGCCTAAATGAGCCCACGAGCGCACTGTTTTTAGCCAAAATGCTTGAATTCGCATGTTTTCCTAAATGTTCGTTAAGCCCATTAACGCGGGAAATATATGATTTTACTTGTGATGACACAGGAAAGCAAAATGACAATAAACTATTTTAAAACAAAACGTGTCGCAGTACAAAGTTTCAAGGTTCAGTACCCACAACTTATTCTCACCTAACTATTTTTGGTCTCCGGATAAAAGAGCTCTCGTGACCACGTAAATCTTTTTGATGAAAATACTGCACTAAAATTTCTCTCATCCATTTGGCTTCGGGGTTACTTTTTTTCAACAGCATCGTCGGTGGTCACTTTTTTTCTGGGACGTTTTGCTTAGAGTGAGTGAATTGCCCAACTGGAATGGACCCTTTTCATAAATACGCTGCATGACGGTGAGCTTTTCGTCAGTTTTGATTTTTCAAAGGGTTCTGGGATAGAAGCCGCCATGTATAGGGCAAGTGGCATGAGCGTGCGCTTCGTACGTGTATTTTACTGCCAGTGAAAGTAGTTCTACAATAGCGGAGGTATTTTCAACGGGATATACAAAAATTCCTCCGTTATTTTTTCGTGGAGCTACTTCAGACAGAACACAGCTCACTCCAGTAAGATATTCGTATTTCTTTTAATTTACTCGTTGTGACTTCACGTTTCTGAGCGCGCCTTTTTACGTGTACCTCAAACGCTGAGCGGTGACTGCGTCTACATGAAACGCTTTTGGTGTCGTCTGCTCCGGCGCCCTATATGGCGGCAAGGAGTAGTTCGTGTAATGGGCGCTTGGGGCGCCCTTTTGCAAATAGGGTCTATAGGACTCAAGATGACCACTGCCCACTCAGCTTCATAACCGTCTACGAGGAGTATTTGGACGCATCCTTCGTCGCAGATGCTAAGGAGCTTTTCGTTTTCTTTTTCGGAAATACTATAAAGCAATCTTCGTTAGAGGCAGTGAGTGAGCTGCATATTTTTCACCTTCGTCTCGATTTGCAACAAGGTTTCAGAGCAGTGCAATGCTTTACGTACTCGCATTTCAGACTCATATGCCAGATTCTTAGAAGGATAAGTGTATTGCAGTGTGTGCACAACGAAGTCTCCGGCCTTCAGAGTCGCGTTGTTGACAATAGTCACATAGGTCCACCACGTATTGGGATAGTACGTCTTCACACTCCCGTATAATGTTTGCGTTTTTATGTCGAAGCCAGTTCTGGCACCCACTTTATTGTCATCCGGGACTATGAATCCAATGGCGTAACTGTGGACAAACAAAAGAGAAACGAGGAAATATGAAACTGCATATTTTTATACAGGATGATCTTTTGTAAAATACGTCACTTTACTTTTATATTACATGCACACTACGAGATAAACTCCACCAGTCACTTTCCCAGACAACCGCTTCCGGTAGGAAGAAACACCTATCCACGGCACAGCTGCATTTCAGATTTGTTCACACCTTGTCAATTACCTTTTGTCGATCACTGTATCACCTTGATCACACGCTAAAAATAGTAACGTCTGTAGTTTCACATGGCAAAGCGATTATATGTTTGTGAGCTAAGCCCACCATGGCGGACACGCACTTATGGTATTCAGCTGCTGGCCCGAAGGACGTGGTTTTGATCCCAGCCTTGGCGGTCACGTTTCGGTGAAGGCGAAATGGTATGGCTGCATGTTAAGGAACACTGGATTGTCTAACCTGCCGGAGCCTTCTCCTACGGCGTATCTCTCATATTCGTATCGTGCTTTTGGAATGTAAAATCCCACATATTATTATTATGTTTGTGAGCAATGACTGTAGAGCACTGCACGGCCGTCAATTTAGCCTGGATCCAGCATAGTCCGGCACTCGTTCAAGTTTACCCGACCGAACCCACCCCAGTGACTCAAAAGCGAGGACCCGGGCCTGGCCCGGTTCCGAGAAAAAAATTTCACCCACCAGGCCCGACCGCAGATCGGGCCCGACAGGTGCCCGAGCCAATAATCTAAATCGCGGAACACCTGTGACCTCCGAATAGCGCGTTTGATGCTCTACCACTGAGCTATGGTCGCAGTAATCCCTCCGTCCGATTTATAAGGTTTAAATGGGCATTAAACGTGGGGGCGTTAGTCAGTGCCGCCAGTAGCCATTGCCGCAAATGTGGAACACCTTTTAGGGGCGAAGCACCTTAGGCCGTGGGTCAATCCCTCCTCTGTAGTAGTAGTAGTAGTAGTAGTAGTAGTAGTAGTAGTAGTAGTAGTAGTAGTAGTAGTAGTAGTAGTAGTATGTAGCCACCTTTAGTTTATGAGTTGCTCAATAGATGACGTGTGTATTTGTCCTTGGGAATAACATAACTAGATGGCGTTCGTGGTTTTCACAGCATATCCACGAAGTGAATGATGATAAGTGGGGCGAAGCTTCCATCCGTCCATCCGTCTGTGCTTCTGTTCGTTCGTCTGACTGTTCGTCCATTCATCTGTCCATGCGTCCGTGCGTCCATGCCTCCACCCGTCCGTCCGTTCGTACGTGCTCCTGTCCATCCATCCGTCCGTATACACAGAGGGATGGACCACGGACGGAGGGATAGATGCTTCGCCCCACTCATAATCATTCACTCCGGGAATATGTTGTGATTTTTTTCCTGTTGGCGTCACGTAGCACGCGATCTTAACGAGCTGGCAGCTGACCAATTATTCCTCGCATATTAAATGAAGCATCACGGCTGCCAGAACGAGGCCCCCGCTACAAATGAAGGTAAGAAGCATAAATTCTCGTTTTCTTCATTAGACACAGCATTAATGCGAACTAACAAACAAGTTTGTCAAGGAAAGTATATGGCATGTTACTAGAAGTAATTGTAGTGTAAATATGAAGAAAGAAAAGAGGACGAAAATATAAATTACCTCCGGCTGAGACCGTACCAGCCATATAGTTTCCTAAAATAAACTAGCGAGAACTGCACTGCGATCGTTCAGCGAGCATGAAAATGATGGGTAGTACACGGATATGCCTACTCTTCGTACTTGTGGGCGGCGCATCGCACTTGTAGCTTCGTTTATTGCTGTGTTTAGGTTTCATTTCGAAAGAAAGAAAGAACCTTTTTGAATTACGTGACCCGATTTGAAATGGTGAGCCTAAAAGAATAAGGTGATGAAGCGCAACCGCTGAACGTCGCGGATTTTTCGTTTTTGTGACAAAATAGCTTGATGCCACACGAACACACATGGAGCCAGAAATACAAAAAATAGACCAATTCGTGTACCACCCATCATTCCCATGCTCGCTCAAGCGCCGTGCGTTGCAGCTCCCATAGACACTAGTGCCAGAGTTCCCTCTAGTGTATTTTCAGGAAACATTATGGTACCAGTGATTTTCGAATCACGCATCCTGACATTTACACTTTTTTCCTTCTCCCAAAATTAAAAATCACCAGGCCTGCGCGAAGCTCGCTGCACAGTCACAGCGAAAGCTGGAAGACCGGCCTTTCAGAGCCTCTTCTAAACACTCTTTAGGTAAATGCTAGAAACGCACTTGCAGGGCACCCACTACGGCATTAATAATCATATTTGCTTTGTAGCAGGCCGGCATTCACAATGCTATCCTTGGTCATTCTTGGGAGAAGATTGGTAAGTGCTAAATATTTGCAACGAATTTTTCGCGAATTTGGTGTGTCATGCAGCGGCTGACGACGATGAAGAATTACGCCTGAAGTGACTATGAGGCGCAGTTATTAGGTCATCAATACAAGGTTTCGTAATGTTTTCGAGCATTAGACGACCCATTCGCTACGCAAGTCGTATGACGTCTGGTTGTTCCTTTGCTGTTCTAAAATGCTTTGTGACTAATACCAACGCGATTCCTTTCCCGACATCAAGCCTGCCTAAGTTAAGTTTCCGGTTTGAGAAAGAGTTCCAAGCACCGGCGTGGAAGCCGCATTGAACCGCTGTGTTCGAAAATGCTCTCTGCTGAAAACAGCATATATATGACTGAGGATCAACTACTACATTTCACGATGAAGACTCAAGCTAAAAAGTCGTCCTGCCATGTCTACCAACCGGTAACGATGTTTTGAATTCCGCTTTCCTTAATGACGACTTAAGTGGTAGGCAGTATCGTGTCCCCAGACTTCCATGACGCGCTCCTCGAAGTGGTCACCACAGTGGACATCATATACAAGTTGGCCAGTATCAAATGAGCCATGTACGGACGGTTACGTGCGCAAGCAGCATGGCGAAACAGAAACTGATCACTTGTGGTGAGCTCCGTGTAAAAGGGCTGAAGTGCATGGTGCTAGATCCGGAGACCAAGAATATTAGGCTGAAACTCCTGTGGCTTCCACCTCATCTTGAATCGTGACGTGTTGAAGAGGCGTTCCAAGCTTACTGTGTGATGAAGTTCGTTGAGAGAGAGGCGTGGAGGTGTTCTTGGAATGAAACAATTGGATCACAACAAACACGGTACGTTACCTTAGAACTCAAGGACACCATCACTGTGAGCTCAATACTATACTTGATGTCTAGCTACGTTCACCAATGCCTCGTACTTATTCCCGGTCGGCATCCCACTGTGTCTTTGCTGCAAGCGAGTGGGGCATGTCCGTCGACAGTGCAAAACACCGAGGTGCTTGCAATGCCGTCGATTTGGTCACTCGTCGGGCACCTGCGTGCCGACTTACATGCCACCAAACTCCGTTCTGGTCAAGACACAGAAGAGCTGCATCTGGATCACCTTATGGATGCCACTGAGGTAGTTGATGCGACAGGAGAAGTAGTGGAAGGAGCAGAACGTGGCTCAAAGGTAGCTGAGCACAAGTCCATGGAGACCAGCCTCAGCACGCAAAATAGCATCGTTAAAGACACCAGTGACCGCATAAATGAATGCGATGCTGCAGGAGAACACCACCTGGAAGACCTTAAAGACAAGCCTCCTGACAACGAGGAACGAGAAGCAATACGAGCAGCAGTCAGGCAAGGACGCGTCAAGCACCGGTCACTGACGAAGCAACAGCGAGTGCACCAGACACGACAGAGCAAGTGTCTTCATGTGGTACACGTTTCACCTCTTTGGGGACCGAGTGATGCGCCGCCTATGCCAGCGTCCTCAAGAAAGGGCTCCTAAAAAGTGCACAGATAGTAAAGCCACAGGTTGCCCAATGGCTAACGGTGACCAACAAATATTTTAAGGAGAGCAAAAGGGCTACCGCACTAACCTTTCTCATGTGTGTATAGCGACACTCAACGTACGTTGCTTGAGGAATGTAAGGCGTCAGTGGCAGTTGCACCACGTGCTTGAGCAGTACAACATTGATGTACCTGCAGTGCAAGAGACTAAGATTTTGGCTGCTCGTGAACACCAATCATGCACTGGAAGTTTTTCGAGATTATCAACTATACATCAGCCAAGCCCGTGGTGCTTCCGCTTTTTATTAGTTAGAAAGCGCTGGAACTATATTTTGACGTCGCTACGTGTTGATAGGGAAGGACGCCTCATTTGTTGTGACTTCTTTTCATTCCCATAATTGGAGGTTTATCTGTGTCTATGCTTCCTCCAAGGGGATTTACAGGAATGTTTTTTTTTCCTCTCTTTAACTTCGCTGCTGAACTCTGACAGAACTTTGATAGTTTTTGGAGACTTAATTGTGTTTGTGACGCGAGAGATCATTCATATATAACAAATCGTTATGATGCAAGTGCAACCTTACTGCAGAAATTATTAAATGACCACAATTTAATAGATGTGGGAGCGCATGCACCTTCCTCGGTGAGGTTTACGCATTTTAAGGGTGTCTTTGACGCTCTGCTCGACCATGTGTATGTATTTATAGGCCTATGGTTTCACAATCATAATTATGATGTAAAGCCCATATCTTTAACAGACCATTGCTTGGTCACTGTTTCTTTGGGTCCAAAAAATTTTTGTAAGGTCCCTCTAAACACGTATCTATGGAAGCTTAACGTATAGTTGTTGCGCGAGGATTGTTTATTGAAAATACAGTTGGTACAAGAGGTAACACAGTGTTGACAGCTGCCAATCTTCGCTCAATGGGAAATGTAAAAAAAATTAAATATCAGGCGATAATATTTCATGTGAAATAGCACAAAGAAAAAAAACGCTGAAAACACTCTATGAATTACTTCATAAGCTCCATACTTTTGAAAGTCAACAGCTGGGATTGTACGTGGATGAGATAAATGTGATTCGAGCACAGATACAAAAACACGATACAGGTGTATATAAAGAGCAATGATTCATTCCCGTGTTACTCGTTTCACTGAA